AACACATATTTGTGGCAAACTATATGATGGTTTACTCATGAATCACCAAACAGGTTAGACAATTTTGTCAAGGTCATAATGACTCATGCCACTATAGGAAAGGTTAAGATCTGAAATACATCACTGATATGCTTCCTCTTTGGGATAAAGGGTCTCTAAACCATTGGACTGGTTAAAAAAAAAGGACCCTCTTATCTGAGACGTAGAAAAGTCACTGCCATTTGGAGAAGCAGCATTGATTTGACTTGAGAAGTTGACATGTTAAGAAATGATAAGAGAGAGCAAGATTAAAGTAATATAAAATATGCAGTTGAAACCATTGAGCATATTGGCGTCATTTTAAATATTTTTTCCTGTTGTCTGGTGCAAATTTAAAATCATAGAAATTTCCAAATTGGAACCAGGAACCAGAAAAGGAATGTACAATGCATTAAGTTTAATCAATGCAATGGAGCATGGTCATGCACATAGAGTGAGCATATTTTTAAAGCGTGAACAAGGAACCAGTATGCAGTAATTTTTACACCACTGGGATAACACTGATAATACAACCTATGGCAGCCATATATCTGAGGCTGGTTTCTGCTTGCACCAAGAATACATATTGAGAGAGGTATCACATCATTTGCAAAAACTTTACCATTGCTTGCATTTTGGTTCTAAAATATATTTTTATACTCCACACTGCACAATATTTCCTTTATTCCATTATGAATGAAATGCTTACTTCTAAATACAATATTTATTGGGTTATTTACTGTATTTAGGAATTGCTGAAGAACTGTCGTTTAGCTTTTCCTCCCTTTTGTTTATATTGAGCTCTTGTATGCAATATCTAAAGGTTACCTGAGCATAATTTTTTTTAAAAGTCAATTGCAGATATAATGTCAAGCTGAGAAGGGATCCACATGAGCCAGCCTGAGAAATCTGGGTATTAGAATCAGAAGATAACTGGACAACAGCAGATTGAAAATTATAGCAGGTGATGACTGGCATCTTTCATATATATAGTTCATGATGAGAATGGGAGCTTACAGCTTTTATGCAAGTACAGGTAGTCCTCAATTTACAATAGTTTATCTAGTGACCGTTCAAACAACGGCACTGAAAAAAAGTGACTTATGACCATCTTTCACACTTTTAGGATCATTGCAGCATCTCCATGATCACGTGAACAAAATTCAGCTGCTTGGCAATTGGCTCATATTTATGACTGTTGCAGTGTCCCGGGGACACGTGATCAGCTTTGCACACTTCTGACAAGCAAAGTCAATGGGGGGATCCAAATTCACTTAACAACTGGGTTACTAATTTAACAACAGCAACAATTCACTTAACAACAGTTGCAAGAAAGGTTGTGAAATGGGGCAAAACTCACTTAACAAATATTTCACTTAGCAACATAAATGTTGGATTCAATTGTGGTTGTAACTTGAGGACTATCTGTATAGGAAAGAAGCACGCTGGATCTTCTTTTTCTCACATCAGTCTAGTATGTCCTAACATGGATTGGAACACCGTGTAAACATGACTCATGTTTTACTGGCCATTCCTCAACTGATTCATTTGCTTATTTATGAAGTTTATACTAGAAAATTTTCTATAATGGGCTTCATATCCCTTTGGGAAGAAATTCAAATAATTCAACTCTTCCAAGACTTGATTTGCTCAGTATGAATAAAGTTTGCCTATAGTACATCTAACAGCTTTTCTGCAGTTAGGAAATGGGGCATTCTTAAATGGTCACATGTTGTGGCTAAGACAGTGTTTTTTAAATTGCAAAATGATTTTGTTTTGTGACCCTAACAGTTGCACACCATAAAAATACACTGCTGGCAGCAGTCCTTTCCTTCAGAGTGCCACAGAAGAACAAACTCCTCCTGATTAAAATGTACTCCAACACGGTTAGATGTAGGGAGTCCTGCCATCTCTTGAATAAGGCACTCCTAGAGATGTAGCAATAAGAAAGCTTGTGCTTTTCAATTCCTGGCATACCCAGGTAATGACCCTTTTGAGAATCACAGTTTATAAATGCAAACAGTACTAAACCAAATAAGCTAGCACAGCTTTCTGTGTTTTTAATGCCATTCATTCTCTACTAGTATGTTTCTGGCTCATAAACTGGATGCATTTGAAAGCCAGTTAATTTCTCAGTTCTCATGTTGTTTTACAGAAGGACAATAAAAGCTCTTTTAAAAGCTATTGGCCAGAGAGACAGTATTTTACAACATAAAAGCAGCAGGACCATGAAGATGACCACATCTCATTACAAGATGCTGCCTGAGGTGTTTGAAAAGGGTCCCTGGGTCCCTGGAGGTCCATCAGTGCCTTCAAGAAGAAAAGTAAAAATGTTGCCGCTGTGACAATGAAATATAAATCCATTGTTAGCCTTGGTAGTGGTGGGCTAATAATGAAATGTTCATTATAATATTGCAATGAACCCATCATTATCTATTTGCAGGAGATATTGCAAAACAATTATGAAATGTGTTGTGATGTCATGATAACATTTCATTCTTTTGGCATCATCACATTTAGAATGGGCACCTATGATTGCTCATCACCCACATTAAATGAATATTCACATTAGCTAGTTATCTAGAGGTCCATTTTAATTAACCCTATTGTCCAATAGTGAATAGCCTAAACCAGGGGTGTCCAAACTTGGCAAATTTAAGATCTGTGGACTTCAATTCCCAGAGTTCCTCAGCCAGCTGGCTGGAGAATTCTGGAAGTCCACAAGTTTTAAAGTTGTCCAAGTTGGACACTCCTGACATAAACTATATTTATGCATCAGTAGTTATTAATGTTGATCTTTGATTTGAGAAGGTTGAGATAAAAGTTCAGATCCCCCAATCAGTTTGATAATAGGTGTAACCCACACATCTGGAAGGGTGAAAGAGACTCTTCAAACTCAATCATAAAGAAGAATCATTTACAAGAACCAAAACTGAAAACAATCTGGAATCTGTGCCAAGCAAGTAATAAAGAAGATTGCTGGAGCTTTGATTAGAAAAATTACTTTGACATGGCAGTTACTAAGAATTCCCTTCCCCATCAAGCTGCTATTTCTGTTCTTATGATGATTCGCAATAGCATCAGCAAGGAATAAACTTTTATAATTTGCGATTTTTCATGAATGTATTTTATGAACAAAGAAAAAAAGAGCCAAATTAGATATTAAATTTGGAAAAAATGTGTGTTATGATTCATGTTTGTCATGATATAACTCATTTCAAAAATTCAACCTTAACTTCATGCGTATTGACATTCCTTCAGAACAGCTTTTGTTTTCTGTGAGGGATACAGAAATTTTTACTTTCCTTGAAATCCATATGCAAATAAACTAACTAAATGGGATTGAAAATAGAACCATTTTATATCAGCTATGCAGTTTAATCTATGAAATATTTTCATCTAGCTTACTAAAATATTAAAATTAAACACATACTACAAAATTCAACTAAAAGAAAAACTTGTAATGGAGTCTAAACGGAAATTTCTAGTAACTTTCTAGTAACTATAACTGAGTACTTGAGATTTGCTGCTTAAGATGCATTTGTGTGACTTTGGATATTTCAAGCTATCATTCCAAAATATATTTTTAGTCCAAAAAATAATTATGAATTCTGAGAATTAATTTGTCTTCAATTCTGTTCTCATAGTTTAAGCTCAGATTTTTTTCTCATAAGAAAGGCAGAAACATTATTTTTAGATTAAAAAAATGGTCATTACTTTGTAATGGCAGTGTTTTCTACTACGTCTTAGAACCGTTCAGCCTTTTATATGTCTACTCAGAAGTAGGTCCCACTGAATTCACCTCAGCTTATTTCTAGGCTCTCACCTAGAAATTTGCTAATCAACAGTGGTATCAACCTAACTCACTGTTAATTGCAGTTAAAAACACTAATTTCAATGGGCTGATATTGAGAATATTTTTTTGAATTCAGTAAATGAATATCTGCGAAGATATGTATAGGACTGTACTCTAGATTTTGTTATTGGTTATGACAAATGGCTACAACCACAGTTTTATAAACAAAAGCCAGAATAACTGCTAAGAGTCAAAATTCAAGTGACCTTAAATATGTTTTTGCACCTAATATACTTCTTTAAAAAGGCAAATTATAAGGCGGATAATTGCAGCATGTGGAAAAGGGAATTAAATTAATTATTTGCAAGGGATGCTCTTTTAGTAAAAATGTACTACTCTTTTACTAGTACATATGCACATGCATTATACTGAACAAGAAATAAGAGAAAAATGGTGCTAGGAAAGGAAAATTGATGGAAACAATAAGAAGTGCCTGAAACTGTGTTTGTGTGTCCCTATCCTCACAAAATAGGGCATCTTATCCAAGATCAGCCTAACAGTGGCAGCATTGTAAATGCATTCACACATTTTCTAGCACATGCTCCTAGATTATGACAATCTGGCTATTCCAATTTTGTAGCTACACAAAACGTTTTAAGACAAGAAAATTAGAAATGTAATAGCTTCATAAGTTCAAAGAACTTTCCACTACTAAAAGCGTAAAGACCTTTGAAGTTATGAAGCTATTATAAGCTATTACTTTCAATAAAATTACTAAAAGTATTATTGAAAGTGATAATTTTTGAAAATTGCCATCAAGGATACACACACACACACAGAGAGAGACATCCCTCTGAAAAAGTTTTCTTTCCTTTCTGGTTATGATTATTTTTCCCCACTTTAAAGGCTTTAAAAAAAGTACATACTGTCAACCACTATTTACCTTGATAAATTAAAGCAAAGAATTCTTGCCATATCAAATTATGCTTTATCATTAATTGAGAATAATTAAGGGTGACTTATAATTAACCTGGAATAGCTCCTACTCCTGTCAAATAATAATGAAATGAAAAAGAGATATTTAAATAAAGCTGGAGGTATGTACTGTATACATGTACATGTATGTGTGTGTGTGTGTGTGTGTGTATCTTTGAGTTTGGTGCACCCTGTCGGCCCAAATATATATTTAAAAGGCTCCATAACCGTCATTACGAGTAGCTACCGCAAAGGCTGGATATGCTTCATAAGCTGTATAGGTTGTCAAATCTTGTCCTAGATTCACTGCTTGCTTAAGCTGGGTAGCTGCGACAGTGGCAGCTGTGTTAGCAATATATCCTGGAGAAAAATTCAGAAAGAAACCTTTTTTTACCAGAACTGTAGAGATTGACACAATTCTTTATGCATAATTTTAGTCTACAATAATATTCACACCAAAACATTGTTTTCTAAGCATGCTGTTTAAACCGAACACGTGAATTTGGCCATACTTGGCTAATTAGTAGGGAAATCATTTGTATTACAGGACCAGAGTGGAGTGCAAAAATTCAGTTGCTCACTATGTGGCAGCAAATATCTTTTTCCTGCCATCTAGTGGTCATCTGGATTTTTCCATCCTAGTTTGTCAATCCTATTTACAAGTCCTACTTGAGTTGAAAGTGATGCTTTATCTACAGCAATGCACAATATCAAATTATATGGAATAATATCTAATATCATCAAATTTGCAGATGACACTAAGCTGGCAGGAATAGCCAACACCCCAGAAGACAAGCTCAGGATGCAAAAAGATCTTGACAGACTTGAACAACGGGCCCTAGCCAACAACATTAATTTTAATATGGAGAAAAACAAGGTTTTACACCTAGGCAGGAGAAACCAAAGGTACAAGTACAGATTAGGCAAAACCTGGCTCAGAAACAGTGACTGTGAGAGGGACCTTGGAGTCCTAGGGGACAATCACTTAAATATGAGCCAGCAGTGTGCGGCAGAGCAAAAAAAGCTAATACAATCCTTATATAAACAGAGACATAGAATCAAAATCATGTGAAGTATTAGTATCACTTTATAAAACCTTAGTGAGACTACATCTGGAATACTGCATCCAGTTTTGGTCACCGTATTACAAAAAAGATGTTGAGACTTTGGAAAATGTGCAAAGAAGAGCAACTAAGTTGATTAAAGGCCTGGAGACTAAAACATATGAAGAACAGCTGCAGGATTTGGATTTGGCTAGTCTACACAAAAAAAGGACTAGGGTGGACATAATAGAAGCATTCCAGTATTTGAGGGGCTGTCACAAACAGGAGGGGGGTCAACTTATTTTCCAAAGCACCAGAAGGCAAGACACATGCCGGTCACTAGAGCGGGGAATATTGCCGGTCCCGTCCCCTAAGGAGATACATCTGGCAGGATCCAGAAGAAGGGCCTTCTCTATGATGGCTCCCTCTCTCTGGAACATCAACTCCCCCAGAGATTAGAGTGGCCCCCCACTCTAACCCTCTTTTGGAAGGCGCTGAAGATGTGGTTCTGCCAGCGGGCCTGGGGAACCCAGAGCAGGATGGAGCCCATTAAATAAATGTGTGTTGTTGACAGGGCGGGGGGTTGGGGGGTTGGGGGGGTTATTATTTTATTATTTTTCTTATTATTATTTTCTTTTTTTATATGGTGTTTATATCCGTGTAAGCCGCCTTGAGTTGCCATGTGTGAGTAGGTGGCAATATAAATTTTCTAAATAAAAAAAAATTAAAAAATTAAAAAAAAAACAAAGGATGGAAACTAATCAAGGAGAGAAGCAACCTGGAATTAAGGAGAAACTTCCTAACAGTGAGGTCAATTAACCAGTGGAACAGCTTGACTTCAGAAGTTGTGGGTACTTCATCTCTGGAGGCTTTTAAGAAGAGACTGGACAGCCACTTGTCTGAAATGGTATAGGGTCTCCTGCTTGAGCAGGGGGTTGGACTGGATGACCTCCAAGGTCCCTTCCAGCTCTATTTTGATTCATTGATTGACTAGTGTTTGCTGATGTAATAATGCTCATCTACAATGATACACACAGTACTGTTATGCCTTTTCTTCAACAAGTCCTAGTACTTTTAGTCAGCTGTGCCAATATAATCCAATGCTATATGTGTACAGATAGCCCTTACTTTCTGTCTCATGTAGCAACCATTTGAAGACACAAAGGTGAAAAAAAAACCTAATATTGTGACTGATCCTCTGATAGTGATACTGTAGCAGCATCCTGAAGTCATATGATTGCCATCTGTATACTTCATAAGTGGCTTGCAACAAATAGAGTTAATAGACAAGACAGAAGTAAAATCATGTCAGGATCACGTGATGTTTTTTTTGCTTAGCAACTGTGATACTCTGTGACCAAGTTGCCAGTCCCAATTGTAGTCACTAAGTGAGGACTATCTATATGTATGAATACACAGATTGATACTCTATGGCAGAGGTAGGGAACGATGGCCCAGGGAGCTGAAGTCCACAAGACATAAAAGGGCCATTGTTCCCCACCCCTGCCCTATGGATATCCTTTGTGGTGGGTTCTATAGGTTGTCATATTGTTGGAGAGTGAATAAGATGTGAGAGAGGAAATGAAATAGTAAAAAATATGTATTTGCATCCTTTCTCTGTGCTATTTAGAAGGAAAGCAGGTTTGGCTTTGATCTTTGACTAATCCAAACTCTGGAACCTCTTATCTAGAGAGAGAGAGAGAGACTCTTACCTCCATAAAGCTTTCATTAAGATGCAAAAGATCTTTTCTTTTGAATTCCTCCCTGCACCTTCCCCCTGGCTTCTAATCATACCAAAGCTGTCAGGGAACTGCCCACAAGCGACGCCAGTAACAGTAACAGAGTTGGAAGGGACCTTGGATGTCATCTAGTCCAACTCCCTGCTCTCATAGCAGACTAAACTATTTCTGATCAATGGCTGTTCAATCTCTTCTTAAAAACCTCCAGTGATGGGGCACCCACAACTTCCGAAGGCAATTTTTTCCATTGGTCAATTATTCCTCACTGTTAGGAATTTTCGCTTTTGTTCTATGTTGCTTCCTTACTTGGTTAGTTTCCATCCATTGTTTCTTTTCCTTCCTACAGGTGCTTTGGTAAATATGTTACTACCCTCTTCCTTGTGGCAGCCTTTCAAGTATTGGACTTAGAATGACAGAGTTGGAAGGGACCTTGTAGGTCATCTAGTCCAAGCCCTTGCTTAAGCAGGAGACCCTCTACCATTTCTGACAAGTGGCTGTCCAGTCTCTTCTTGAAAGCCTCCAGTGATGAAGCACCCACAACTTCTGAAGGCAAGCTGTTCCACTGGTTAATTATTCTCACTGTCAGAAAATCTCTCCTTATTTCTAGGTTAAATCTCTCCTTGATCAGTTTCCGTCCATTGTTCCTTGTCTGGCCTTTGGATGCTTTGGAAAATAGGTTGTCCCCTCTTCTCTGTGACAACCCCTCAAATATTGGAACACTGCTATCATATCACCCCTGTCCTTCTCTTCTTTAGACTAGCCATGCCCAGTTCTTGTAACCGTTCTTCATATGTTTTATCCACCAGGCCCCTAATCATCTTTGTTGCTCTTCTCTGCACTCTTTCTAAAGTCTCAGCATCTTTTTTATAATGTGGTGACCAAAACTGGATGCAGTAGTCTAGTTGTGGCCTTACTAAGTCTTTATAGAGCGGTAGTAGTACCTCACATGATCTTGATTCAATCCTTCTGTTAATGCAATATAGGATTGCATTGGCTTTTTTGGTTGTTGCTGCACACTGCTGGCTCATATTTAATTGATTGTCCACTAAGGATTCCAAGATCCCTCTCACAGTTACTGCTATTAAGCCAGGTTTCACCTAATCTGTATGTGTACTTTTGGCTTTTCTTGCCTAAGTGTAAGACTTTACATTTCTCTGTTATTATATCACCTCTGATCTTTCTTTTCAATAGACTAAGGTATATCAAGTTCCTGCAATCGTTCTTAGTATATTTTAGCCTCCAACCCCCTAATCATCTTTGTTGCTCTTCTCTGAACTCTTTCCAAAGTCTCCACATCTTTTTTGTATTGAGGTGACCAAAACTAGATGCGGTATTCCAAGTGTAGTCTTGCCCAGGCTCTGTACAGCAGTACTAGTACTTCACATCATCTTGACTCTATCTGCCAGTTAATACAACGTAGGATTGCACAGCCTTTTTTGGCTGCTGCTACACACTGTTGCCACACACCACATGCACTGGGATGTCACAACATAAACCCCATGATTTACCTAGTTGTGTCTGACATCAGTGCACAAGTATGAAAGCTTGAAGTTTGAGTCATGAATTGTCATCCACAGTAGTTCGTAGCAGGCTCCTAAAATTTTACTTTGTGTTCTTCATATAACTTTGTTATCTCTTAGCTTTATGTCCTTTAAACATCTAAGCTAGTTAGCCATCTAGCTATACTTTAGTGTAATACCAATCCTATGTGTGCTACCCAGGCATAATCTCTAGTGAATCTGTATTCAGTTGCAGACTAGGATTATAACCTCATTCTATCTTCTTCTTCTGCCTTTAAATCATTTTGCCACTTCTTACATAGAAAAAAATGACAAAATATCAAGACACTAGCATAAAGCGCAATTCAGCTATTTAATCATTTATCAAAATAATATTTTAAAAGTAATCCCCTTTCTACATAAGAAGGGCTAGGGGTGATATGATAGCAGTTCCAATATCTCAGGTGCTGCCACAAAGAAGAGGGAGTCAGTCTATTCTCTAAATAGGCAGGACAAGAAGCAAGGGATGGAAACTAATCAAGGAGAGAAGCAACCTAGAACTAAGAAGAAATTTCCTGACAGTTAGAGCAATAAATCAATGGAACAACTTGCTTCCAGAAGTTGTGAATGGTCCAACACTGAACATTTTAAAGAAGAGACTGGACAACCATTTGTCTTAAATGATATAGGGTTTCCTGCTTGACCAGGGGGGTGGACTAGAAGACCTCCAAGATCCCTTCCAACTCTGTTATTCTTTTTATTCTATTATATGCCTTTCCCTTATACAAATAGCCTTACTTTATTTTGCCTAGCTAGACTCTCTCCTATTCAAGGGCGGCTGGAGAAAGAGAGAGGTAGTTTAGAGTGATGCATTTTATATCAGCTTTGATGAACCTAACCGATACCGTTTTTATTGGACTATTAGGTTCATTTGAATTGAAAGGATAAAATGTATTCAGAGTTTTCCAACTAAATGAACAATGGCAGTGGAAGGTCATTGTAATTAAGCAGCAAATGGTGCTGAGTTCAATAAAACATCAGTGTATCTTACATAATGCGGAAGCTTGAACAAGCCTAGA